GCACATTTATATTCTGCATATTTTTTTATTATTTTTATTAAATATTTATTTTTTATTATTATTATTATTTAGTTTTATAATGAATCAATTTTAGTAATCAGTAATTAATGTTTGTAGTAAAATTTTTCTTTCTACAAGAATTTTAAAAGAATCAAAAAATTCATATATTACAAATATTTTTTATCTTGTTTTTTTTTATCTTAATTAGTATTTTATTCAGAGTTTTTGTTTTAAAATGATAAATCTAACTTGTAAATTTGTAGAAAAAAGTACAAAAAAACTTTCAATTTTGAATTAAACTTGTAAATGTTTCGTGTCTCGGTTTGACTCATTTTTAGTACAAATATCTAGTTCTTTTTTAGAAAATACTTTTAGAATTATTATATATTATTATTATATATTTATTTGAAAAAAAAAATTAATATGTCAATTCAGCTCATTTATGATTTTTATGCCAAGGCCATGATGTAATTATTTTTGAAAATAAAAGAAAAAACTTAAGTTTGTAAATAATAAATATTTATTTAGAAAAGAACAAAATAAAAAACAACAATTAATATGTCAATTCAGCTCACTTGTGATTTTTATTTCAAAGTTATTATCCAATTATTTGTAATAAATAAAAAGAAAAAATCTAAGTTAGTAAATAATAAATTTTTCCAACGTTTCGAGACATTATTTAATTCATCTTCAGTGCAAACACTACTTAAAAATAATAAACTAAACATTTCTATGGAAAATGTAATTTTTTTAGACTTTAGACTATTATATGCATTTAACCAGAAATATATGATTTTTTTAGTCATATTTCTGGTTAAATGTATATAATAGTTCTATCTTTTGCTATTATAGTTTACGACCTGAAGATGAATCAAATATAGAAATTCAAAACGATGTCAAAACTTGTTGAAAAAAATGTTCAGAAATTTAGAAAAAACGGAACAAATATAATGAACAATGCAAATTCTAGTAAAAAAGAATTAAATTTCAGTCATAACTTTGAAAAAAAATTAAAATGTGACATTTATAAAAACCGGACATTTTTGTCAAGTTAAAAAAAATATATTTTATTATCATAAATTGTGATTTATAATATCTTTAGGACGTTCTCGTATCTAAAATCACATTTTATCATAAAATTTATATCGAAGTTTACAGAAACATCTACAATTGTCATTTTACAGCGTTTTCTTAAAAATCACAACTGTCAAAATTAATTGAAGTTTCTAAAATTTTAATATATCGGATATGATCTGAGATTTCCAATATAGCCTATAATCTAAGTTAGATATAAATGAACACGTTGAGCCAAAAAAAATTAAAATCGGTTCAGTAGTTTAAGAGCACATTGCGGCCAAACATCGTAACACGTGACATGAACTTACATAATTAAAAAAACAAACAAATTTCTTGTACTTTCTGTCATTTCATAACTGTCAAAATTAATTGAAATTTCTAAAATTTTAATACTTAGAATATGAACTGAGATTTTGAACATAGTCTATAACCTTCGTTACATATAAATGCACACGTTGAGTCAAAAAATTCAAAATCGGTTCAGTAGTTTAGGAGTACATTGCGGACGCACATCATGACACGTACTTCATATAATAAATATGTTATAAATTATATATAATACACTTACTTTAGTTGTATTCTGAAAATAATTTTGGTATATTTTGATTAATTCAATATATATCACAGCCCTTAAATAATTTTTTTAAGTACATTTATATTTCTACATCTGTCAAACTGAATTATATAATTTCATCCGCCAAACACATATACTGTATCTTATATAATTTTAATTTCTGGCACATCTCAGCTGCCTTTCGGCAATAATAATGTAGACAATAATATTTTGTCTACATTATTATTGCCGAAAGTCTAAGTTTTCTTAATTTGCTCGTCAATAGAGTCCCTTTTCTCCTTTTTTTGTAAATATTTAATTTGCTCGTCAGTAGAGTCCTTTTTCTAATTTTCTATCTAGATTATTAACTTAATTAGTAAAATATCATTTTAGGCAATATAAGGGCACCACTTTTTCTTTCATTTGTGCGTCAGTAGAGTTCTTTTTTCCTTGTTTATCTTTTGTCTAGATTTTTAATTTGCTCTTCAGGAGAGTCTCTTTATTCATTCTTTTATCTATTTGCTCGTTAGTAGAGTCCCTTTTCTCCTTTTCATTTTGTAGATATTTAATTTGCTCGTCAGTAGAGTCCTTTTTCTAATTTTCTATCTAGATTATTAACTTAATTAGTAAAATACCATTTTAGACAATATAAGGACTGCACTTTTTCTTTAATTTGTTTGTTAGTAGAGTCCCTTTTTCGTTCTTTTATCCAGTTATTTAATTTGCTCATCAGCAGACTCCCTTTGTTCTTTCGTATCTAGATATTAAATTTGCTCGTCAGTAGAATCCATTTTCTAATTTTGTATCTAGATCTTAAATTTGCTCGTCAGTAGAGTCCTTTTTTTACTTTTTCATCAATCCAGAGTTTTCTTTTTCCTCCTTTATCTTTTCATTTTTTTTATCTAGATATTTACTTTGCTCGTTAGTAGAGTCTCTTTTCTATTATTTTATCTAGTTATTTAATTTGCTAGTTTGACGAGCAAATTAATTGTATATTATTTTCTAATATTATCTAGGCTCATAATTTCAGCTGAATTCAAATTTCAAGTGAATTGTCATTTCTAGCAAATGTTTTCAATATCAAGCAATGACAAGTGTTTTTTTGTAATTTTTGCCATTTATTTCTACAATATTTTCCTTGACAAACTTTAAAAAGATTTATCAAAATTCGAATAACCGTTTAGGAAAAGTATCAAATCATACAACAGTACAGAAAAAATTTATTTATAATATATATAAGTATATATATATATATATATATATATATACTATATTTCTCCTAAACGGTTATTCGAATTCTGATAAATCTTTCTGAAGTTTGTCAAGGGAAATTTTTATTTTTTAATTTGATATATAAATATATATATATATATATATATATATACATATACATATATCAATTTCTATTTATATTTCTCTTCCCTTAAGGGCGCAGGGTGCACAGCCCTTCTGGTGGCCGTCGTCTCTAGAAAGTTGGAGCTGACACGTGCCGAGAAGCACGTGCACAACTTCATGATGGACACTCAGCTCACGAAAAGGGTAAGTGATGGCACAAATTCTCTCGAACCGACTTTGAATTTTAAATTTGAAACACGTACAGGGTACATTAACTCACCTGAGTAATAGTTTGAGAAGCAAGCAACAGGGTAGTACGATAAAGGATTGTGGAAGAAGGGCTAAGGGTTATAGTAAAGGACTTATTAGGTTATGGCAAGGTTATGTTATGCTCCGACGCCCATACATTATGCTACTGAATTAACATACTGTCAAAATGTCATGTGTTTGTTGTGTATTCGGGGGTTTTATACGTAAACTGCAACGTCAGACGTATGGTATGAAGCCGGGTCAGAAAGACCCTGTTATCTAACATCGTTTTAAAAGGGTAAGTGATGGCACAAATTCTCTCGAACCGACTTTGAATTTTGGATTTAAAACACGTACAAGGGTACATTAACTCACCTGGGTAATAGTTTGAGAAGCAACAGGGTAGTAGGATAAAGGATTGTGGAAGAAGGGCTAAGGGTTAGGGTAAAGGATTTGTTAGGTTGTTATGGCAAGGTTATGTTACGCTCCGACGCCCATACATTATGCTACTGAATTATACTGAATACTGTCAAAATGTCATGTGTTTGTTGTGCATTCGGGGGTTTTACATATAGACTGCAACGTTACTCGTATGTTATGAAGCTGAGTCAGAAGAATCCTGTTGCCTAAGATCGTTTTCTTGACGTTTGTGCGGTTTCTAGGTTGGGTTTTCTATCTGACAACCTGACAAATATGCCTCACTGAAAATGAAATTTTTGAAAATGTTCGTTTTTATGAAAGTTTCGAAATATTCTCATATTTTTGTAAGAAATCAATTTTTTTTTTAATTTTGCTATTTTTTTCAAATTCATCTAAATTTAAGTTTTGAAAATTTATTAAAATTAAAAATTAATTTTTTGGTATTTTTGAAATAAATCGATTTTTTTCAAAACTATCAAAATTTAAATTTTAACAATTCATTAAAAGTTCGAAATTTTTTGGAATTTTTGGATAGGAATTTTTTTTTGAGAATTTGGAAATTTTTTAAAATATTCGTTTTTGTTTTGAAAATTTCAAAACATTCTCATATTTTTGTAAGAATTCGATTTTTTTTTAAATTTGATATTTTTTGAAATTCATCAAAATTTAGATTTTTTTTTTTGAAAATGATAAAAAACGGCAAAAATTTGAATTTTTTGCAACTTTTTTTTGGAAACGGTTGCTCCATGTTACGGAAATCGTCGACATATATTCTCTGAGGTTGCAATCCAAAATGTTCAGAAACCTCTGAAACATAAATTTATATATAAAATAGTTCATTTTCGATTTTTTTGTGATTACTATAACTTACTCTACGGGAAGTTAATAAAACCCGTAATAAAAAATTAAACTCTTCCATTAATTTTCAAAAATCTGAATAGAAATCGAAAAACATCCCAAAAAACGATAATTATAAGGGTAAGTGTGGCAGAAAGATGAAAATTGAGGGTTGCAACCATGTATTTGTCAAACACGCATTTTCAAAAAAAAAATGATCCAAACGTTAAAATATAAGTGCTATAGTTACATAATGCTTGATGAAATTATTTTATTAATTTTGAAATTTAAAAAAAACGAATAATTTAAAAAGTTTCCAAATTATCAAAAAAATCAAATTAATAAAAAATTGAACGAATTTCTTTTCTCATAAACTCAATCTGAGTCCAAAACATTCACATACAGAAATCGAGATAAAAAATTATGTAATCACCTTAACAATTCTTATCTAATAGGGGTTTATGTTAAAAGCGTGAAAATTTAGGGTATTTTTATTTTATCTATTTATTGTATTTTTTTCTTCTTTTAGTTAAAAAATGCAGCAGCCAACGTCCTTCGAGAGACCTGGCTAATCTACAAACATACAAGGCTTGTGAAAAGGGTAAACCCTGGAAGGGTTAGGACCCATCAGAGGAAGTTTTTATTGGCCATATACGCGTAAGTTGAAAAAAATTTATATATATATATATATATATATATATATATATATAAATTTACTATTATGTTTCAGATTAAGAAAAGTGAAAATGGACCAAAGAAAACTCATGGACAACGCCAATACGATAACAGACATGGCAAAAGTAAGTATTATTGCAATTGGCTTTGGCTAAGCTAAGCTTTGCTGAATTTTTTTTAACAAAAATACGGTAAAAGTAATTTACGTTAATAATAAAATTACTATAAACATTTGTAAAAGCTTAAAAGTTGGATTCAGTACAAATATTTGATTGCTTTTTGAATTTTAATATAGCGCATGTTGGGTTGAAGAGTTTTTCTGTAGTTTGTTGAAAGCTTTTAAATTAACTAATAAATAGATTTTGATTGAATAGTTAACTTATAAACTAGTTTTCTAGCATTGGTATGATTTATGAAAATAAAAATTAAACGTTGAGAACAGTAATAACTAATGTGCCCGAAAAGTGGGCATCAAGATCACTTAATAGATAAAATATTTGTCAGTTTTTTATCGTTGAATTGAAAAATACATACAACTCTTTTTACTTCAGAATTCTAATTAGTTTTATCAAGGGTTGTGCAACCCTTACATTTTACCAAAGTACAAATATTTCCATGCGCACATACAGTATACATGAAAATAAATGTTTGCATAAAAGAGAAACTTTCGCATAAATAGAGAGAATGAATATTTTATGCTTAATTTGTGACTATAGTCAGATAATATTCATTAACATTTTGTTTATTATTTTGGATAATTAAGTAATAAACTAGTTTTTTAGGTATGATTTATAATAATGAAAATTAAACGTTGGGAACAGTAGTAACTAATGTGCCCAAAAAGTGGGCATCAAGAACACTTATTCGATAAAATATTTGTCAATATATAAGTTTGTTAATTTTCTTTATTTTATTTTTTTTATTGTGGAATTGAAAAATACATACAACAAATATTTTTATCAAGGGTTGTCCAACCCTAACATTTTCCCATAGTACAAATATTTCCCGATGCACACAAACAGTGCATAGTTAGATAATAGTGCAAAAATAGAGAGAATGGATATTTTATGCTTAATTTGGTTAAATTATTTTTATATTGTTTATATTTGTAATTAGGTAATGCAATGCCGATGGAAAATTTCAATACCGGTATTTCGCTAATTTTTCATTTTAAAACCGGAATACAGGTAAATTACCGGTATCTTTATTATCTTAAGGGAATACGTGAATAAAATTGAAAGTTACTAGTACAACTATAAAAAAATGTATATACAACTACAACTATATTCAACTAAACAACAAAATAAATCAATAAGTTTATTTTTTTAAATAATAATTTAACAAAAGTATATGCAATTTAATTAATTCAATATCACTACGAGTATATTGAGTACTTTTCACCAAAAACAAACTTATGAGTAAGAAAGACCAAAAACTCAAAAAAGATCACATTACATTATTATGATAAACTGTATTGCCTGTATCCGGTGTGTTAAATTAGCATAATCTCCAATATTTAAAAAAAATAATTTTTCTACACTAATTTAAGATCAGATTCTTTGTCTAGACAAATAATAAGTTACTATAATTGTTGAGTATTGTTATTTAAAACAAAGTGATGCTTCTAGAGTATTTTCAAACTTCAAAACGTTTTCAAAAAATAATATTTTATAATTGTAATAAGAAGCAAAAATATTTAGTAATTATCATAATTATTATGTATAAAGTTAGAAAAAAATAAAGATTACGCAGGGGTAATCTTTAAGATTGCGCAGGGGATGATATAAAATATTTTGTCTCAAATATCACTTAAAAAACCGTTACATTTTTACAAAAGATGAAACAAACATCATTATGTATCAGTCCAATTCTATTTATTGTAACACGATATGAAGCCCTTTGGAAAGCAATAAATATTCAGTTTAATGACGAGTTGATATAATATCTGATATTTGTTTATCATATAGAATCACTTGAAGATATAGCTGTTTATGCGATTATGGAAAGATAAATTTGTTCCGAGAAATTCAAACTTTAGGGTATTATGTATCAAATAGCGCTTATGTAAAAATACCGAAAATACCGGTATTTTTGGAATAAATACCGGTAAAATTACCGCTGAAAAATCGGGCGGTTTACCGGTAATTCGGCATACCGGTATACCAGTATTGCATTCCCTAATTGTAATTATAGCCAGATAGTATTCATTAACATTTTGTTTAATATTTCAGGTTGTATATAGATATGTAGCGCTAATTTGACTTCAAAATTAACATAAAATGCATTATTAATAATAATTTATTAACAATCTTAAATTTAGAAGTTTGGCCTTTGACTACTGCTTTACTAATAATATTCCCTTACTTTTGATAGCATTTTTAAGTAGTTTTCTGAATTACCATTGCCTAGTTTGAGTAGTGCTCTACAATTAAACTACTAGGGTCATCTATTAACAATTATATATAAATTGCGCATACGGCTTGGCTAAGTAGTTGCATGATCTTGACGAGTGAAGATCAGAACCCAATTCTGTTCCAGACCCAAAACACTGTCTACGAAATCGTATCGGATATGTCTGGACGACAGGACGCGGTGGAGGAACGACTGTCGAACTTGGAGGACAAATTGGCAGCACTACAGGTAATAATTATAATTGACATATATATATATATATATATATATATTTACTAGCTGATCCGGCAAACGTTGTTTTGCTAAATAAGGTATATTCTAAACAATTTCTAGAGAATCAAAAATATTAATACTTTAAGTGTATAAGGATGTGTTGTTGTTTGAATGATATATATAATGATAAGTATTATAGAAACAATAAACCCCATTAGTTGTCTATATTTTGTCAATACAATCAAGCTGGAAGTTTTATACACTTACTATAGAAAACATGGTATAATCCAATCCAAGTCTTATTTTGGTATTTCGACTTATTGATTACGTTTTAAGCTATTCAGATTCTTTTTGAATTTTGGATTTTGTGTATAATTGTAAATAATACTACTGAGCTTATACAAATTGTTCAAATTTCTGCGAGGAGAGATAGAAAATGAATTAGATATAACCGCTCTGACCTGCTTTTTAAAAAGTTTCAAGTAACATACCTTGAATTAAAGTAAATTTAATAAAAAGTATATATGTAGAGCAGGGCAAGGCACAAAGGTCCAATTTGACTTTGAGCAAATATAAACTATATTGTGAAAACCCAAACAATTATATCACAACAAATAACACATATCAATCGAATGATTATCTGACTACGTTCATGTGCTGCTTTTTTATGTCTTTCAAAAATTTGTTATCTAGACCTTTTTACCCTATAGGCGGGGTAACTTGAATCGGCCAGGTGGCAAACAGGTTTAAAGTCTTGTTTTAATTTTAAAGGATTTTACAAATTGATTACATTTTTAACTAATGCTAAAATTCTACCAACGGAAGAAAATACTTTTATCATGGATTTTCAAAGATTACAGATTAAGATTAAGTCTTCAAATCATGGTTATAACTGGTTATACATATTTTTCCCTCTACTTTCAAATATTGTTCTTAAACAATGCTTAACTTTACTGGTTTTTAACACATCGGCGGTGGACATTTTAACCCCGTACCTTCATATATTACTATCTATTCTTCTATAAATTCTGGGAAATTATAACTGGCGAAATGGTATTCGACAAAATGTACATGTAAATGTAAATGTATGTAATGTTCTTCTTCAGTCCTTGCATTTGCAATATTTCGCATTCTTCTTGCATTACGACTTTGTTGGGAAAGATTCGATCGTCTTGGTCGCGGTGTTATTAATTAAACTTTACTTCACCTCATATATATAGAACCAAGAACTAATATTCATTCACTATATTTAACATGAAGGTAGTAGAGGTTAATTTCAATGACAGAAACACCGAATGACAGTTGACAATTGAAGGAAAATGTCATGGATGAAATCATTGATAGTATCATAGATTGAATAAACTACATGGGTAGTTTATAAATAATTAATTCTGAATTAGAATGAAAAACGAGATAAAAAGTATTTCATATGTTTCTTCTGGTTCTAAACTACCTCCCTGCCACCAATAGATTACTGAGCCACAGCAATGCGTGGCCGGGCTAGCTAGTATATATATATATATATATATATATATATAACGAATTATAATGAAAACGGGATAAAAAGTATTTCATTTGTTTCTCCTGGCTCTAAACTACCTTCCTGCCAATTTTCATCTAAATCGGTTCAGCCGTTCATGAGTTATAAGTGTTCTAACTTAAACCATCCTCTTTTATATATAAGATATATACAGGGCCGGTCCTGGGGTCCTTAGCGCCCGCATGCAACTTTTTTTCTAACGACCCCCCCCCCCTCTATTAATATTAACTGTTTTAACGGTTTATCATTAAAATTATATAGATATTTTTATATATTATAAACATATTTTTTAAAAATTAATTTTTAATTATTCTGGATTTAGTACACAAAAAATTAGATATAATCTAAAAGCGTTTAAAATATAGGGTTTGATTATAATCAAATATTTTTAAATTTTCAATTATTTTTAACGTATATGCAATATTAATATTTGGGTTTTAAAACATTTTACTTATTCATTATGCGATTTATTCTATTGAGTAAATCATGCCATAAGTGCCTAAAAAACTAGCTTTTCAATCATAATACTCGTATTTCATGTTGGATTTTTTAAATTTTAATTTAATTTAATTTTTCATCATTTACAATATCCAAAAATGCGTCGTAGACTTCTACTTATTGATATCGTAAGAGCCGAATTGTATTTATCCTTGCTTTCCCGTCATATTCATAGTATCAGTTTGATGTTTTAAAGTTAAATTTTTAACGTATTTTAAAAGTATTGTCCAAAAATCAGTAGAAAATGCAAAAAAATTACACATTTATTGAAGTATATTAAAAAAAACTTATTATATTGTATTATTTCTGCGTAGTTAATAATTATTAAATTTAGATTATTATTTTATTAAATTTAGAGTTATTATTTAGATTATTAATTATTAAATTTATGGACACCGCTAGGTATAAAAAAAAGCCTTAAGATTTTCGTTTCAAAGTAAATTTTGTTTTTATTTTTTATATTTGTTTCATTTCCACAACCCTAACCACGCATGTCTTCAACATTCAAAATTCATCAGAAGCGAAACATTTGCAACAAAAGCAAAAGTTACAATTCAATTTCTCGGAATAAACAAGTGCTTTTTAAGCACCGACTCCCCATTTTTTTATATTTCCGATTATAATTTGTTTATATTTTTTAACAAGTTCCGTTTCAACTAAATCACAATTTTTCGTCAATAATGCCCAATAATTAATTTAATCTTTCTCAGGTTTGAGCTTATCTAGCACTAGATAATTTCTTTTTCGATTCCATGGTAACTTTAAACGAAGAAAAATTGAATAAGTAGATTAAGCAATGAACAGAGCTGTTATTTACTAATTTGCAGAGTTATTAATCAGTTAATTGTTTCTACTGATATCACATTGCAAAATAAATGTGAATAAATGCTTTTTGTGTCTCCGTTTCTCTAATTAAGGTAGATTGTTTATTATAATTTTCTAATTCTAGATTTTATATAAATAATTCTAGATTTTATATAAAAAATATAAATATCATATTATAAATTTAATTTCCGAAACTCGTTTTGGCGCTCCCTAAAGCCTGCGCCCGCATTTTTTGCATGCATCGCATGCAGGCAAGGCATATATATATATATATATATATATATATATATATATATATATATATATATCCATATACCCATATACCCATATATCCATTACTTCCAGGAGCAGCTAGACGCCCTCCCAGAGGTCCTAGCCCGTTGCCTGGCGCAGCACGCAGAAAGGTCGGAGCAGCGCCGGAACTTCCTCCACCCGGACACGGCCTCCGTGGGCGTCAGCGGCGGAGGAGTCGCCATCATGGCGGCGCCTCCGACGCCCCTGACTCCTCTGCAACCGCCGTTGCAACCGATTCAGCACCCGCTGTCTGCTGCTGCTTCCAGCATGAGCGGAGGAGCTGGGCCGCAGATGCAGCAGCATATGCCGCTGCTTATGCCGCATTCCAGGTGAGAAGGGAGGGTCCTGGGTAATAATAATTGATAGATAGTGAGGTTGTCCGAGGGTTAGAATAGTCTATGGATATAAGTCTGGGATAAATAGAAATGTTATGGTAATGCTATGTTACGGGTCTATTTGGTATGAGTTAGTAGCATAGACCTTATACAATTTCATGAACTGCTAGTCCCCATACATTTCTCAGGTACAAAAAGTGTCAAAAGATGTTCTATGGTATGAGGGCATATGAGGGTAATTTCGCGGCCGAGATATGTCAAACTCGATCGCTTAAACGTCAAATGAAAGTCCGTATGTTCGAAATTGTTGGGAAAATATTATATAATATACAATTTATGTTAAACTAATGAACTATTTATTTATTAACTTCCCGTAGGGTAAGTTATTGTAATGGGCCCAAAATCGGAATTGAAAATTTTTACATTTCTCGACTTTTCGAAGGTTTCTGAATATTTTGGCATACTTCAGAAAAAATGGATGTGAGTGTGTGTTGGCCGCACGGATCAACCGATTTGAATGGTTCAAAAAACATTCGATTCCTTTTGATAGGGAAAAGATCTGATTAGTTTTTGGCAAAGGCAGGTCCCGCCGTTTCGGAGATACGGAGCAAAGAGTGCAGAAAATAGAAATCGACTTTTTGAGAGAACGGAGTATCCGATTTGAATGATCTAAAAACATTCAATTAGTAATGATTAGGAGAAGGGGTTATTAGTTTTTGGCAAAGGCAGGCGCAGCCATTTCGAAGATACGGAACTAAATATGTAAAAAATGGCAGTTTTTGAGAGAACTAAGCGTCCGATTCAATTGATTCAAAGAACTTTCTGCTTGTCTTAACAAAATAATTGATTTTGGAAAAAAAATTTTTGTTCCATTTTTTTTTTAATTTTTAATTTTTTGTATATCGAAAATAATTCAGATTTTATTTTTAATTCTGACTATAGTTTTAATATACTTTAAACAAATAATTTGAACTCTGCAATTCAGTTGATATAATTCTTATAAATATTAGACAATGTTACAATATTTATAATAATCTATTTGAAAACATCCAATATTCCTCAAACATTTCGTTACGGTACGGGAAGTTCCAGCAATTTGCCTTAAGGCACTATGCCACCCACCCCACTAGTTATTTTTTTTTTTTTTGACTTTGAATACGAGTGCATTAGTCATATACACTTTATTAGACAACTTTACAATTTTATATTATTTAATTGGATATAAGTATATAATTCACCACAAATTATTTTCTTAGTTACCTATCTTCTACATATATATAAAAATAAGTCGGGTTTTCCTTCCTGACGATATAACTCCAAAACGCACGAACCGATTTCGACAATTTTGCATTCGTTGGAAAGGTCTCGGGCTCCGCAAGGTTTATAGCTAAGATTGAATTGATGATGCATGGCATCGTGCCTCAATCCAAGTTGATGGAACTTCACGCACCGTAATTAAAAATTCGAGTAATGACATTATTGAGAATTATCAGAATTATGCTTAGTTAAGTCAACAAGCAATTTTTGCCGCAAAAAATAATGATGTACACGCACTGAATTTCACCATTCAATCAAAAATTGCTGTCGATTTGGTGACATACCAATGATTCCGACTGGTCCTCCGTTTGACTTCAAACGATTGCAATTTCCAGTTTGCCTTGCGTTCGCAATAACAAGTCGCAAGGCCAATCGCTTAGTGTTTGCGTAATAAATTTCAAATAGATTATTTAGAAAATCATTGTTTTTCACATGGGCAGTTATACGTTGCCTGTTCACGAGTTGAAAAGCCATCCGCTTTATTTGTGTTAACGCCAGACCAAAAAACAAAAAATGTGCGGATTCACTTTCATATACTTAGAGAAGTTCAACTGAAAAACACTTTATTTTTGTAATCGAAATTAATTCATTACTGCTGTGTAATAAAATAAAATTTTACCTTTTCAAATATAAAACAAACAAAAAATTTCTTCATCTTTCTAACGAAACCATCTGGTGGCGAAACGGAGTTCGTCGGGTTTGCTAGTCCATATTATAAAATTAGTTGGAAAGGATTTTCTTTTTCCTTACTTTACGTACGTGTTATAAAAGAGATATCAGGAAGTGCGTTTATAATAAATTTGTTATTCGAGGTTGGTTCGTTTTGGAGGTTACCTACCAACTCATTCGATTATAGACCAGTAACATAACATTTCTATTTTATCTCTTTGGCTCTTATGTAGTATTTTTAGTTCAGCTTTATTATTAACTAGTATAAGTTTGGCTATAGCCTTAGTATTAGATTAGAAGTATTTAGAAACGATTGCCGAAAAAAAATTATACCCCATCACATAGTTCAAAGGATTTATACATAAATATACATATACATACATATATATATCTCATATTTATTAACTTCCCGTAGGGTAAGTTATAGTAATCGCAAAAAAATCGAAAATGAAAATTTTTATATATCTTTACGTTTCAGAGGTTTCTGAACATTTTGGCATACCTTAGAAAAAATGGATGTATGTGTGTGTGTGTGTGTGTGTGTGTGTATTTGTGTGTGTGCGTGTATGTATGTGTGTGCGGATACAAAGTTTTGTCGACGATTTCGGGAACACGGCTTAAGCAATTTGCATAATTCAAAAAACATTCGATTCGTATCGGTAAGGAGACGTGCTGATTAGTTTTTGGCAAAGGCAAGTCTAGCCGTTTTGGAGTTACGGGGCAAAAAGTGCCAAAAATTGTATTTCAGTTTTTAAGAGAACGGAGCGTCCGATTTTAATAATTCAAAAAACATTTTACTTGTATTGACAATATGAAGAATTGATCAAATTTAGATAAGGGCAGGTCTAACGGTTTTGGAGATCTAATGAAAAAAGAAAAAAAAATGCCATTTGGCGGTCAAAAATGATCATTAGACATATGCACATCAAATTATCAGATATTTTATAGAGATTTTAATAATAAGTATAAATTTTGTTTACATTACTATGGGTTCCGTACCAATGTTTATTCGATAGACAGCGGCGCCGCGCTTACGCGCTTCGATATTTTGTTTCTATACAGTTAAAGCAGTACGATTGTTTTGAAAAAAAGTTCAGAATTTCCAAAATATTTCAAAATAAATTTTTCATCAAAAAGTTTTTTTTTTTTAAAAAAGTAAGTTTTTGTCAAAAATTTATAGTTTCTCAAAAATCTAATTTTTCAGAGTAATTTTTTTCAAAAATGTTAATCGTTTTAAAAAAAAATAATTTTTGGTACGGGAAGTTCCAGCACTTTGCCTTAAGGCACGATGCCATGCGCCCAACTAGTTTTTTATTTATGTTATTTAAAATAAATAATAACTTTGGAATCCATCAAAGGGGATATTTTGTCGAATTACGTATTCCCAGCGCGGTACAACAATTTAAACTAGCTGTAAGTGGAATTCTGTCTTAAGGCAATTAAGGCATCGTGCCTTAAGGCAAATTGCTGGAACTTCCCGTACCAAAAATTATTATTTTTTTAAAAACAATTAACATTTTTGAAAAAAAAAATTACTTTGAAAAAATAAGATTTTTGAGAAACTATAAATTGGACAAAAAATTACTTTTTTTTGAAAAAAATTTTTTAAAAAAAAAAATTTTTTTTTTAATTTTTTTTTTGAAAATTTTTTTTTTTATTTTGACATATTGTGGAAGATCTGAACTTTCTTTTCAAAGCAATCAATCGTACTGCTTTAACTGCATAGGGACAAAATATAAAGCGCGTAAGCGCCGCGTCGCTGTCTAAAGCATAAGCATTGGTACGGAACCCATAGGAATGTTAACAAAATTTATACTTATTGTTAAAATCTCTATAAAATATCTGATAATTTTATGAGCATATGTCTAATGATCATTTTTGACCGCCAAATGGCTCATTTTTTTACTTTTTCCTCCATATCTCCGAATCTGCTAGACCTACCTTCATGAAAATTTTATCGATTCTTCATCTTGTCAATACAAGTGAAATGTTTTTTGAATTATTCAAATCGGACGCTCCGTTCTCTCAAAAACTGAGCTACCGTTTTCGGCACTTTTTGCCCCGTATCTTTGGAACGGCTAGACCTGCCTTCGCCAAAAACTAATCAGCACGTCTCCTTATCAATACAAATCGAATGTTTTTTGAATTATTCAAATCGGTTGACCCGTGTTCCCGAAATCGTCGACGAAAATTTGTATCCGCACATACATACACACACATACATACATACATACACACACACACACATACACACACACACACACACATACATCCATTTTTTCTAAGGTATGCCAAAATGTTCAGAAACCTCTGAAACGTAAAGATATATAAAAATTTTCATTTTCGATTTTTTTGCGATTACTATAACTTGCCCTACGGGAAGTTAATAAGAGGATTCTTTTGACAGTTTTTTTGACGTTTGTTAAACTTAAAATTAGAGGATTTTCTTGGTATAACAATAGAGACCTTGGCCTTAATGAACATACAAAACAATTAAAGTCCTACGGAAACTGGTTCATTTATAAAAATAATGGTTTTTGAAAATTTGCTTTTATAAAATACTCCTAGTTAACCGTGTTCGTTCGTTTTCAATCATGTGTAATAAATCCACTCGGAATACTTTTAATCACTCATAAATTAATTTATTTTTTATTAATCAAGTCGATTATTTACACATATAGGGAAGTTCATGTAACCTGCCTCAAGGCTAAATACCAGACAAACTAGTTTTTGTTAGCTGCACCACATTTGCAACCCCTTACTTATTTCAATACAAACACTTTACACTAAAAACATTACCAATAGGGTACATCATCCCTTTCCCTTCCCTTTTTTTCTTTTTTTTTTCGGCAATCGCCTCTCTCGCTCCCCACGCACAGCGTGTGTATTGAAGCAGTGAGCATTTGGTTTAAGGAGCGCGACCATTGGCGGCGCGGGCAGTGGCGGCGCCCCCGGAGTCTCAACATTTTCGCCTTGGCCCACATCTCCGGTCCTGCCTCCGGTGTCTAGCCGGACTCCGAGACTTGTTCCGGATCCCATAAGGCCCGGACAAAACAGTTGAGAGGAAACTGAACCCGAAGAAAACTTCGACGACGGAGTGGTTGTTGTTTGCGGCTCCAAATCCAGCCACTGGTAAAGGTAATGGTAAAGGAGTCATGGGAGGTGAAGGTGGGATAAAAGAATTTTTTTGGAGTTTGTTGAAAGTTACTAGACCAATGCATGTTTAGTTAAGGGGCACAACTAGTGTGAAATTTTCAAAAAATTGAATTTTCAATTTTTCCATATTTCGATAGGTTATACCTTTAAAAATAACATACCAAAATTTTAAATCGATATCTTAAATAGTTTTTGAGTCACAGTCATTTAAAGAGTATATATACAGTATATAGTATAACGATCATTTAATCTTTAAACGCGTTTTTCTCGAAACAGCATTTTCCGAATTTGCTGCAGCGATTACTCAAAACGAATGATCCGATCACTATCAATTTTTTTTACATGTTCTTATATAGTTCTCCGTAAAATGAACTATCGATTTTTTGATCGGATCAAAAATCGAATTTTGGCAATCCAAAAACGACCAAAATTTTGGTAAAATTCGACTTTTTTTAAAAAAAAACGCCGTCATTTTGTCAATTTTTGATTTTTTTTCTTTATCGTAGTTCATTTTACAGACAATATTATCTAGTTTAACGAGAATTTTTTTTTTAATTTCATCCACGTAGAAGGCCGGAATCACTGCAGCAGTGAAGGACCTTTTTTTTGTCACGATAACTTAAAAAATATTAAATTTTTTTTTTCAAAAATTTTACTATGTATTCTTAAAACATGTATAAATATATTCCTGAAATTTTGAAATGATTGATAAAGTAGTTTTTTTAATAGAAATTCCCAAAAATCACCTTTTTTTTAGGCGGTTACACTAGTCGTGCCCCTTATATTAATTTTGTTTGTGTATTATAAACTCCAAACGAATTCTTGAACAAGCATTTTGCTTGGGAAGTTAAATGTAAATTTGTTAATGCAAATTACACAAATTCGTCCGTGGTCACAAATTTGGTGGTAGATATATGTAAAATAATTGTTCCGATATTTTAGCAAAATTTCATGACCAATGTTATGGCAAGGCTATATTTCCATACTAAATATTGTCAAAAGCCACGCGGTTGCTATGAAGTCAGGCGTAGGGAATGCTAAACTAATTTAAAAAATCTAAGGAGGATAATTTAAATTCCAAGTGCGAGTGTTTATTTAACAAAATTTCTATATAATTCTATTTACCATGAGGTCCGAACAAAGACGTCTAAATTCCTTCCTAATCCTGGCAACAATCTTCATTTGCCACATTTCAATTCCCCTCACCAATGCCGCCATTTTGGAGACTTCGCCCCAAACGACGACAGCGCCATCTCTTGATGAAAACGTGAAGATTGAAAATCCAAAATGTGAAGAAGCCGAAGGCAACAAGTTTACTTGGGCGGATTATTCTGTCCTGGCAACTATGTTAATAATATCCTGTGGAATTGGGCTGTTTTATGGCTTTGTGGGGCCCAAACAGACGACCAGCACTGATTTTTTGCTTGGTGGATCTGATATGGGCACTTTGCCTATGTCTATGAGTCTCACAACAAGGTAGGGTAAAGGACATATGTTTTATGCCCATAGGGAATGCAATACCGATGGAAAATTTCAATACCGGTATTTTGGTATTTTTTCATTTTAAACCGGAATACCGGTAAATTACCGGTATTTTTATTATCTTAAACAAACGTAAACAAAATTGAAAGTTACTAGTACAAATATAAAAAATGTATTTACAACTACAACTATATTCAACTAAACAATAAAATAAAACAAAAAGTTAATTTTTTTAAATAATAATTTAACAAAAGTATATGCAATTTAATTAATTCATTATTACTATCGAGTATATTGAGTACTTTTCACCAAAAACAAACTTATGAGTAAGAAAGACCAAAAACTCATATAAGATCATATTGCATTATTATAATAAACTGTATTGTCTGTATCCCATGTGTTAAATTAGCATAATCTCCGATATTTAAAAAAAAAATTTTCTACACTAATTTAAGATCGGATACTTTGTCAAGATAAATAATAAGTTACTATAATTGTTGAGTATTATTTTATCACATGTGATGCTTCTATAGTATTTTCAAACTTCGAAACGTTTTCGACAAATAATATTTTATAATTGTAATAAGAAGCAAAAATATTTAGTAATTATCATAATTATTATGTATAAAGTTAGAAAAAAATAAAGATTACGCAGGGGTAATCTGTATGATATAAAATATTTTGGCGCAAATATCACTTAAAAAACCGTTAGATTTTTACATAAGATGAAACAAACATCATTATCCATCAGTCCAATTCTATTTATTATAACACGATATGAAGCCCTTAGTAAAGCAATAAATATTCAGTTTAATAACGAGTTGAGATAATATTTGACATTTGTTTATCATATAGAATCACTTGCAGATATAGCTGTTTATGCGATTATGGAATTTAAAGATACATTTGTTCCGAGAAATTTAAACTGTAGGGTATTATGTATCAAATAGCGCTTATGTAAAAATACCGAAAATACCGGTATTTTTGGAATAAATACCGGTAAAAATACCGCCGAAAAATCGGGCGGTTTACCGGTAATTCGGTATACCGGTATACCGGTATTGCATTTCCTAGTCAGGCGCATTTTTCAGGTTGTCACATAGAAAAAAGAAACCACAAAAAACGATCTTACATAACAGGGTCTTTCTGACTCAGCTTCATAACATACGAGTGACGTTGCAGTTTATGTGTGAAACGCCTGAATGCACAGCAAATACACGACATTTTGGCAATATTCAGTATGATTCAGTCGCATATTTTTATCATATTTCTATTACATTTTCCTCCACCGAATTTGTGACAAAAGTTGTGGCTCGCGATAAAGACTTTAAACTAATAATTTTCTAATATATTAATACTATAAATTATAAATATTATTATAATTAGTTATAATAGTGCACATACACATGAAAAAAAACACAAATACACAAATATTAAGGCCTTGACTAGCACCAGATTAAAATTGATAGCTAAGGTAAGACATAGGGAAATTAAATTATTAAAAATTAAATGGACAGATATAAATATATGTATATAATATTATATATATATATTATATATATGAATAAATAAATTCGTTTACGCTTGTTATAAAAAATACGATGCATTAATTTACAAACGTAGTTGATTGTTAATAAAATATAAATTAATATAAAATATATATAAAACAGTTTGATAAAATTCTATAAAAAATATTACTTCGGTCGGTTTCTTTGTTTTATGAAGTGATTTATTAGTTCAAATTAATATTTATTAAAAACATATATTTTTATTTCTCAAATGTTTTTTAAAACCTATATTTTTGTATATTATTAAAAGAATTTGACCTATTTATTAGGATTTTCAAATTATTTTAAATTTTGGGACTTACCTTAATCAAATTTGATACTTACCTTTATCAGCTCATTGTTTGACTTTTTTGGGTTTGAAATTTTTGAGACAAAAAAGTTACATTAATGTGCTTTTTTGTATTTTTATTTTTTTTAATTTAATATTATTCTGGAACTTTTGAGAAACACACAAAAATAGACATCCATGGAGCTTTTCTGAATTTATTTCTATTTTTTATATATATAGTAATCTTTTAATGAAATAGACAAGTACAATTAAATGACTTCAAAGATAAAAATCTTGTGACCATTGTCAGAAAGATTTAATACTGATATTCATATAAACCTCATCTAGATTTAAACCTAGTGGTAAATTTACGTGCTACAGTACAGTTAGTGGCGCACTCTATGAAGCGGGGAAACAATTAAAATTGAAGTAATGGCAAAGCGATTGTATTTTTGATCTATTTATACTTATCTTTAATCTATAATTTTCTTTTTTTGCATGAAATGAAAAAATGAAAATAAAAGCATGAAATTTTCTTCACATTTCGTTTTACACAAAATTATTTATTAAAATTGTTTGATTTTTGACTAAATTATTTTCTGAATTTTAATTTAAGATAAAAACTTAATTAAAAAAATAATACATCAATTAATAAAATTTTAATACATCTTTATATTCAGACAAAAGTTTTTTTTTTAAGTGGTAAAAATAGATTTGACATTACAACAAAATTTATAAATATTGTTACGTATATTTTTCTTTGATAAAATTTAACATCGAAACAAAAAAACTTATATTTTACATAAATGTTAAAAAAATATTATATTCAACTGTTTCAAAATTATTTCGAGACCTTAAAATGCATTTGTCTTGATCAATATATATATAAAAAGGGCAATAACATGTGTTCCAAGTAATTAGAAAAAAATGGTTATAATTTAATATTATAATAAAATTTATACTATTATTGCATCAGTTTGTCTAATTCAAAATTATAAAAATATGCAATTCATTAATTTTTTTCTGGAACTTCTGACACAAATTTAATTTATGATTTTTAAGTATTTTTAAATGATTTAGAAATCTTAAAATGCATTTGTTTTGCTCAATATATATATTATTTTTTTATCACTTCATAAACGACCACTATGTCCATCTGTTGACTCACTCTTAAAGCTTGAAGACCAATTCTAAGGCAGTGAATTTAATATAAATTAATTTAGAAACAAAAAACTAAATAACTTTTACAAAACATAAAACAATTAAATAATAAAGTAACTAAAATTAAATTATATAATTAAAATTGAATTAAATAAAATAGATGAACTCGGTAATAAATGTATATATATATATATATATATATTTAAATTTCAATTATAACGTCTCCAAAAATTCGAGCAAGTTGTATAAATAAATATATAAAAAACTATTAAAATTATTATATAAATAAATATTTATTATCTATAAAAATGCTTTAAATAGACTAGATATAAACGGCAACTTTTATTAAATAAAGATAAATAAAAACAAGTTTTAAAGTTAAAAGTTAAGACCAAATATTTGCTTGGAATGGTATTTAAATATTGGTTTAATATATATATATATATATATATATATATTCAATATATATATATATATAGAATATATATAGATATATTCAATATATATATATATATATATATACATATTTCATTTATCAAAAGACACAAACTTATACTTAAATTTTCCATGAAAGGATCGTCGACAAAAAAAAATTCGTGAAATAATTTCAAAGGGACCAAAATAAATCTAAATGAACATCATGGAAAATAATAAGATGTATAATTTATAAATATTCGAATAAATAATAATTATCGATATATTCGAAGTTTTAAAAACGCAAACGAAAAGCGAATTATTAATATTAATAATAATTATTATTAATATTTAGTTGTAAAGAATTTTAAGAGCTGTAGCTTGTAATAGGATTTAAACTAAACTGTACTGTATATAGTTTAGGTTGTTATTGAAATATTTTTTTAGGAATAATAGGAATAAATTATTGAGGGTGGTCCTTAATATGGACACTTTCGAATTTCTTTGTTCCCAAGGCTCAAAGCTTCCAAAGTAATAAAAAAAAAATTCTCTAAAAAAAACTATTAATTGAATTACGGACTTTCTAAATGTTAATACTAAGAGCTAAAACTTTTAGAGAATTTTTTTCTTTAATTTGGAAGCATTTGAGACCTTGGGAGCAAAAAAAATTCGAAAGTGTCCATATTAAGGACCACCCTAATATATATATTTTATTTTGGAGACGTTATTTTGGAAACAATTATTTGCCACCTAAAATATTATTTTATCTTTGTCCAAAAACATTTTATTTGCAAATATAAATTGACTTTATCTAGTCGATATGTTACAAAATTTATCGAATTTTTCATTTTAATTTTAATAAAAATAATTAAATTGTTAGTTAGAACAGAATTTCTGAAAAATATTTTATTTGCATTTAAATTGTATTTTATTACAAAAATTTTGAATATTTGTAACAAATTTACGCAAATGCCTTGTAAATTTGCCCTTTTATGCCTGTTAGAAAAAATTTTGGACTTTGAACAGTTTGAGAAGTCATTGGAATGCAAAAATGCATTTTTCGTATTTTTAAATTTTGTAAAAATAATCATTTTTTATGGTCAATAAATTTTTGGATAAAAAAATTTAATCTGAGAACTCTAATTCTAATAAATTGCCTTTTCTTCATGAAATTTTATAAAATTATTGATAATTGATATAATAATTTAAAAAAAAATGTTATTATTTTAAAAATTGTCCATAATGTTTTTATTTATTTAAAATTGTCAATAACAATTTAATAATAATATTCACCAAATTTATTATTACAAACAGTCTTAAATTGTCGAAATATTTGAATACTTACTTTATACATTGACATTTTTTGTTTATAAATATTTATTAATTTTTATAAATAATAGAGATTTATTTATCATTTACATAATCTAAAAATGTTTACATGATTGAAAAACATTTTTTTTAAATAAATTTATTGCAAAAAATTATGAAATTAATTGTCAAAATTTTAAACAACCAATATTTATTTCACAAAAAAAAATATTGCTAGATTTTTATTTAAAAAAATCTAAAAAGCTAAATAATTACTTAACATAAATTTTAGAATTGCAATAATTATTTATACATTTTTTTGCCAATTTTTATATTCAAAAAATCTAAAAATTTACTTTGTATCTGAAAATTCATTCAATATATTTATTTAATAATATTTTATTAATTATATGATTAAAACGCATATTTTAAAATTTAAAAATAAAATATTTTGTCACTTTCTAATTTCTAAAATACCAAAACTATTTATTAATAATATTTACCAGATTGTTCATTCACAAAATAAAAAATGTGCAAAAAATACTTTACATATAAAAATATACTGCAAGATCTTTTTTTAAAAAATATTTTATTAATTTATATAATTATACAAAATTTTATTTCAGTATTTATTTAATTAAAACAGATATTTAAAATTTTAAAACAAATATATTGTCACTTTTCTAAATTTTAAAATACCATTACCTATTTATTAATAATATTTACCAGATTTTTT